TTGAAAAGTGGCTCCATTATTGCAAGACATCCATAAAGGGAGACTTTGTCATACTCTAAAAAAAAATCAAACTATTTATGAAGCACATAGAGACAGAGTACTGGCCCAAACAGACAAAAAATATGGTGTGTCAATGGACTCCCAGGATATGGGAAAACGTGCCTTTAACAGCAGTCCAGAGAAATCACAGCACAGATCCGTATTATATGAATGGCATCTAATAACCAAGCTTCCAGGTGGAACAACAGTATATTCCATCCATCTTTCAGACCTCTGTAGTAGGTCTAATTTAAAATATCTGTTCAATCTCACTGTTAGTACTACTTTCAAAACACAAGTTACAGCCAATTTGGTGTCTTTATCAGATCTCATTCATTAAAAGCAGAAAGGTTTGGTTTATGAAGTTGTAAGCAAAACAATTCACACAATTTTTTTTGTCGTGTAAGTGGAAGATTGCTCCACACTCACCAACTGCGAGCCATTAACTGCCCTCAGCTGAGTCACGTTCTACTTGTCATAATTTACTTGTGCTTCTTTTGTCAGTTTATGATTTTCAAAACATCATGTGGATAATTTAAAGTATAAATTTTCCATAAAGGATAATATTTAGGGAGTGACATCACAGTATCACAGTCACAAACATAGCACAGATGAGACCAGTTTGGTTCTCTTGACTTGAACTTTCTTCTCACTAATACTCATGTTTCAATAAATTTTTTACAAATTAAGGTATTTGAAAACACACAGAAACAAACTAACATTTTGTCTTCATTTTGTAAAATTCATATTCTATTGCACAATCTAACAAGATACAGTCAAATTACAAAGTAATTCTTATGACATTTGAAAATCATAGTTGCAAAGGAGATTTTGTTACAAAGAGCACATATGCACACTTCCAAACTGGTAAGAAACTCCATGCATGTAACTCAGGACATTTTGCCCTGAAATAATGAGGCGAGTGTGAAGTTTTTGTTAACCACTGGCCAAGACCAAAGTGGTGTTTGCAAATGGTGAACAAAGGGTTTAAAAAAATAAATGCAAAGAATCATTAATAGCTTCATACAGTACTGTCCCTGTCTTTATGAAGCTCTTTTGCAAACAGACACAAGCAGAGCTGCACAGTACTTTAAGCAATGCTACCTGGACAAAACAAACATTGACAAAAAAAAAAAACTAATTGAACAAATGAATAAAAATGCTGTATAAAAGGAAATTTTATGACTAAAACCCTGTTTACAGTCTTTTGTTCCAGAACTTATAAGAAGAAACCTAAAAGGTCTTCATGGCAAAAAAATCTTGTATTTTGGTGATGATTTGATAAAAAGAAAGTAACGCGGTACAGAACTTACAACACACTTCAACAAAAAGCTTGCATTTATGTTATCTGACAAACAGGACATAGACATCTGGGAAAAACAGACATTACCAAGTGTATGGGTCCTGCTCATTAGAGTCCAAAATGGCGGATAATGAGTAGGAACTCCCACAGAGAGAGAGCTATTACCACTCCATTAACTCACAAGTTCAAAATCAGACGAATGTGAGTGGCGCATTTTAGCTACAAATAAAGCTTGACAGGAAAAAATGCAACTATTTTAACCCTGCATGAACTAACTTTGGAGGGGGGGGGAGTCTTCCCCTTCATGATACAAGAAAGACAAATTTGTCTCCAAAATCTAATGACTGGGCCAAGATATATTTAACAGCTATGATAACCCTTTTACTTATATTTAAGCATACACCCCCCCCCACACACACACACATATATAGTTCAGTATGTAAAAGTCTTAATTACAATTACTAAAGTGACACACTGTGAAGTACAGTGAATTTTTTAAAACATTATCGTTATGTAAGCTGAATAACTTGAGAAGTACAAGAGAAAATTTATGTATTTTTTAATATTGTACGTTTGGCAAAATAGCTCCAGTTTAGTGGCAGACATTTTGCAGAAACAAACTTTATAAGTTCAGTTATCTCGTAAATGATGCAGTGGTAGAAAAGGCTCCCTTCAAGTAACTTAATAAAATTACTCAACACTACAAGAGCAGCTGCAACAATGAATCCACATTTAAAACATATGCGAGAAATATGTTATAGACCATAAACGGTACAAGAAATTAATGAGGACAAAGGTATATATATGAAATTCTGAGTTAAAGATGGTCGTAGCCTTTGTTTGCAATCTTTATGTTTTTAAATAAATCAGAATTATGATATCAAAACAGTGTAATGTTTCCTTCAGCCCTGACAGTGTATTTTAATTTCCATTGACCCTATGTCTATAATCTCAAACACCAAGTCACGGTTAATGGGTCCATGTCTCTCCATTTTGTTTTTCCATCCTGTTACCAACAGAAGTTAATTTCTTGCCCCTGAAATCATTCTGATACTTAAATGCTCTAAATAAAACAGAAAACTAACAGTCTGCCTTATTTCAGAAAGTCCATTCTTCAGAGTATACATTTGTTGGGACTTGTGTTTCACATAAATTTCCCCATCCAGAACGTACTTTAAAAAGTATTCTTCATAACTAAAGGAAACTGAAGATATTTCCTGAATAATATAGAAGGGCAAAATAACTATAATGTATTAAAATGTATGCCATACAATGGTAACAACTGAAAAATTCCCCACATCTTAAACAGCAACTTGTGTACTTACACATTTTACATTTTATGCTTTTTAATACCGTACAGTTGATTAAAATTGTATATTCAGCCACAAAACCATAAAAATCTATTAAAAACATCAGTGCTACACTTTCATACCAGCTAAATCAAATGTCACTGGACGTGCATAAATGCCATTACAATTTAGCTTTCATTTCAAATACCATAATAACATACACTTAACAGAATACATACGGTCTGTCCCTGGAGGAGAAAAAACTTGATAATTTTCATTATTACTAGCTTCACACATTCTAGCTTCACAATATTACTAACTAAACTTCCTTGAACGTCTTCTTAAAGTAAAAATAGTGTGAATTATTTGTTTTTCTTCTATATTTCAGATCATAGCACTTTTATGTCATCAAGACACATAAATAATGTATTCTCTTAAATGTGTAATATATACAAATGGACATTTGTCATTCCAGATCAATGGGACTACTGAAACATCCTACAACCATATGATGTATTTAATTATAAGCTACCTTATCACAGGTCTAAAGTTAAATCAATAGGCATTATGACATCTATATTTGAAGACTAAAAACAGAAAATATCAATAGATTAATTAAGCAATTTGTTAATTAAATGTGTATCATTATATAAAATATTACAGAGTTAGTAATATTATTATGTATTAGACAACTAATATGAGTAGTATAAAAGAATAGACAATTTTAGCCAACAAATTTGTTTTTTGTAGTGTTTTATGATAAACATCACTACCCTTAATGCGGGCATAATTCTGCTAGGTTTGTATGTCTTTAAATGTTTTACTCACTCTCACAGGACACACAAATACTAGGATAAGGAGACCATTGTTATGTTCTAGGTTTAACAATGTGTGCTATTCAGTTTAATTTCACCTGAAATGATATATTGTAAGGTGTAATAGCTGCTTTGACGTTCTTGAGTGCATTAGCAAAAAATAAAAGCAGTCTGCTGAAATGATCAGTTAAACCTCAGTAACTTCAAGACATACAGTCGACTCTCCGGTAAAATGTATTATTCAAATACAGAATCTATAAGTGTGAGCCTTTGCTCCAAGCACAATGGGCACAGGAAGGTTAAAACAGCTGCCCTGCTGCTCTTTCTCCCATCAAAGCAGGTTAAAAGGATTCTCTGTTTACTGAGCGGAGTAGTGCTTCAGAGATGTCACCTAATAAAGGTCACAGCTTTGGACATCAGGGAAGCTGAAAGACAGCCCCTTCCATGCCAATCAACAGTCCTCACAAAACCAGAGTAAAACCTCAACCTAACAGCATGACAGTCACACCAGCAATCTCGGGGAAAAAAAAAAACAACAAATTGTGGTGCAATAATTCTCAATCTGCAAGGGAAAAACAAATACATATGCTGAACATCAAAAGACTCAAATCACTTATAACTACAACACCACAAGCACAAGTTTTAATTTTTCTAATAACCTTTCTGTAGCAGGTTCATTACCATTTGAATGAACGGTCATTACATACATGTACATTCATTATGCTGACATCACTAGGGCTGATCAACAGGGGTTCTACTGTGAAAGTCACAGGGTAAGTGTTTGTGTGGCCACCGGTGGAGGCAAGACAAGCTGTGTACAGTATCTGCACTGCATGCTTTGCTCTGGGGTTGAAGATGCTGTCTTGTGGGATTCGATCTCATTCCCCTAGTAGACACTGGACAAGCATGTGCACGTTAACTGGTCTATGAGCCACTTTGCTTCCCAACAAATTCCACAGATGTTCAATGGGGCTCAAAACGAGTAAGGAGGGTATCCTTATGCTATTAGTCACTGCAAGTGAGAGGTCTATAGCAACTAGACACTCCTGACCAGACCATTATATTTGGGCTTCCCCATCATTGGCTTCACAATTGATGAAGTATGAAATACAGAACTATATTCAATTTACAAAACCTTTGCTTTGATTACTAAACAAAAGTTCAACTGATGATACTTAGTAAGAGATTTGGTTATCATATGTAAGATGTGGTGCGGATGCAAACAAGGAGCAGACATTTTGTTTTTGTGGCATAAGCATGTTATATTAAATTGTTGTGGTTTCATGTCATCATGTCACCACAACTGAACAACACATGAACTTCAGCTTACTTCTTCTGATTTCTTCCAGGCCAACTAAATAATGCTAGCTTAATACTGTTCAAATGCATTTAGATGAATACCTCCCACACCTTTCTGGCAATCCCATGTTATAGAAATAAAAGAAGGAAATGTTATACACACAGCACTTCAGAGTTCCCCATGTCAAAACCAAACTGACAAAAAAGACCTTGACTTATTTTCCTTAATTATAAGGTTCTTGTAAAAGTACTCACCTGTACCACTTCTATTCCTCTCTTCCTGTGGGAAAAAAAAGAAAAAAATTAAATGAATTTCCAAACCCATATCAGAAAAATACTCTTAAGAACTCTGCATGATGAGACTTCCAAAATCTCTTGAGAGAAAAAGGAAATTTAACATCCATTAACAAATAAGAACAATTGCTCTTTGACAAGAAACAAATAACACAAATCAAAAATAGAGAAAATTGCATTTCCAGTGTAGACCCAAATAGTCACTGCAGAAGTAAGTTTGTTGAAATGCCAAGAGGAATCTAGCATGCTTCTACAAAAGCTTACATCCTTTCTAAAGGGTAGAGAAATGTCAGTGTCTAGTGTTAGAACAGAGGGAGCTCTTTCTCTGCAGTAAATAAGTCCCCTTATTACTGCAGAGAAAGTGACTAACTAACTCACTTAGTTTTGCCCAACAAAAGCTAGATTTACTGTACCATAATCATAAAACAATGTACGTTCTTTGGAACAATGTAGGCTAATTAAAAATACCATGTTAATAACCACTTAAAAAGATGTAAACAAAGGGACATATGTTAAACATGAACTTACAATGATTCAAGCAATGCTTAGGTATTTTAATTTTCTATGTGGTATGCAAAACACTGTAAAGAAAGAACTTGGCGTGCATTTGGTACACTAGTATACTGTAAAAATGTATGTTGTATTACTGTACATCAAAAAAGCTGTGTAAAATAGAAAATGTAACCTGATTTCATTCATTCCGGACAGGCATGTTTGTTACCTAAAAAGGCCAGTCTGCAGATAAACCATAATTCCAAACATTTTAAGACGATTTAGGTCTTAAAATGCCCTTGGTATGAACTATTCTCCATTAGTGTTAATAAAAATTATTCCTTCCACCAGTGAGACTGCACTAATTTATAAACTTTATTTGCTCACAACAGACATGCCTGCAACAAAGTGCTGAAAAAAATCTTGAGCTTAAAAAACAAAATAAAAACCATCATGCTGTTCTATTCTTCAGCATCTTGCATACAACATAACTAAACAAGCAGCTCAAAGAATAAAAAGTAGGAGTTGGATATGGAAATCAGAAAGAATAAGTCTACTACAGGCAATGTCTAGCCATTCAGTCCACAGGCAGATTTTTCAGAGGGACAGGATATTTTAGGCACTGGGTATAGATCAGGTAGGATCTATGAGAGTTTAGGATTAAGAAATGGATGAATTTCCCTGAGCATCTGGCTTCTTGATTTTACAGTGGAATGGAATTGCAGGATGAAGTACTGATTGTTGGGTGCAGGATATTTAACAGCTGCTATAAATAGGAATGGATTTTAAGATTTGGAACGGATGGATATTTCCGAAAAAACGACTACAGCAAAAACAATCATCATTTACATGCTACTAATGTTTCTGAAGCTTACATACATTTATCCACACAACTGAAGAATTTATTTTTTAATGTATATATGAATACACTTAAACTCATATAAAACTGCTTCAAAATAGTTACTCTGTCTCCAAAGCTGAAAATCAGTTACTTCTGAAAGCAAAAGAGAAGGAGAAAGGAATAGAGAGGCAGCTTAGCAAAAGGGTTACTTAGCAACCCAAAAACTTAGCAGAATTCAACTCTCTAGCTGTTGAACAACAGTCTTTAGGTTGCTGACAGCAAACCCAAGAAGTTCAGAACGTTAAAATAAATTAAAAGAGCTGCATTACAGTATAGGTTCAGATACCACAGAATGGTTGTTTTTTAATCTGGAATGTGAGGTTTTCTTTGTTTTCCTCCTCAATCTGAAATCATAATTTACCAGGTGATATAGCTTGACTACTACAACCATCAATTTTTATTTCCATTATATAGACAAATTTGAACAGAAACGTTACCTACCCCCCAAAAGAATACCACCCACGTAGAGACAACTGCACTACTGAATTTAGACTAAAGAGCCATTTGATAACTTCCAAGAAAATGAGCATCGTATTTGGTCTCTGTACAGCACTTTATTTTTAAGTCACTGCTACTGTTAACAGATGAATACTGTTGATGTTTCACTGTCTTAGACTATCAATCTGATATCTTCTTATCTCATTCAACACCCACACATTCATTTTGCTGTCCAAAAAAAATTGAAAATTACATTAAAATAAGAAGACTAATACATTGCAAAAATCCCTTCTGCTATTTCCTAGGTCCTACTGAAGGAACCTGCAAGATATTAAAGCTTTCTTCCTGGGATTCATCTAAATCACACTTATGTACAAAAAGTAAAGAAAGAGTAAAATCTCAATGAAATGTAAACAAGAATCAAAAAGATCTTTTAGTACCCAAAGTTAGCATATCTTATTCAGTTTGGGTGTTCTAGAGAGTAAGGCAACACATTAATGGTTCTGGGTGTTATCACTGCTTAATTTTATTGAGCGGTACTAGTTTCTCCAGTTAAATGCACAAAGGGACTAATGGCTACATTGTACAGCAGTCAGGTATTGTGGTGTAAACTCCCGTCTGTACTATCCCCAACCACTGAACACAGCAGTTTTATTTATTTCCCTAAGTGGGCATTTAAAACTGTAGTGTTAGGTCTGCTAGTATTGCTGATGTTTTTCAAAGGTTCTCTTTCCTAGACCTCACCAGTTCTGAACTCTATGTCTAAGGGAGAAGCAATTTTAATAAATGTTTAAAAATTAAACGTGTCTCGCCTTCCGACAAACTGCTAGCTATGCCAAAAGAAGAAACCTTGATGATGAAGTCTTTTTACACTACCAAACAACTATGGCAACTGGCAAAGCCCATTGTCAACACACCAGACACTTCTTCAAGCTCCAGATTGCTGTCCCCTCTCAGTCTCTCAGTAAGAACTGAGTATGGGAGGCAAGGTAAGGCAAGGCAAAACTGGGATCAGATGTTGATTTGAACAAAGCTGATTGAAACATAGTATATGAACCTGGGTCCTCGAAATGTAAACTGAATAGCACTTCTAAATATTTAAAATTCAAGAGCGGGCATCTTTCCGGATTATGGTGGCTTTTAAAAGCAAACAATCTGCTATGAAATGTGGAAATGCAAAAATTAATTAGCTCTGGTAAAGAACCCAGAAATGTATCATTTGCAGGAAACATGTATAAGACTGTCAATGATCAAAGTTGGCGGGTATAGGGCTCATCATGTGGTAAGCTATCTGTAGCTCATCACTGACTTCATATATACAAAGAGAATTCTGACTTCAATTAAGATGGCTGTGCTATCTTGTACCATTAAACCTTCAGAGCTAATTTATATTTTCACAATTATCAAATATTTAATTTTTACAATAACATACACTAAAAAAAGGTAATTGTTTTTCCCTGGCTCAATCTACATTGGGAATTGATGCATTGTAACTGAATGCCATGCCAAAGCAATCTGCTACGTAAATCTGATGTGTCTGTTAAAATTTGCAAGACTTTAGGATACATATAGTGCCATGTGTGTTCCTAACAATATAAAGTATTAAACAGTTCTCCAAAATTTTTATACAGAATTTAGAAATTGAAGTAAAAATCAAGTTTTTACACTTGAATGAATAGGAGCTACACTGGTGAAATTTTTCACTGTTATAATTTAAAACTCGAGAGGTTTTAAGTTTTTATGTTTAGGGAAATAATATACTCTGTATAGTATATACATTAGCGAGTAAGTTAAATAAAAAGTACATAAAAATAAATAAAATTATCCAAAAAATGAAATCAGACATTTAATTATTTTCCACACAATTTGGTGGTAAACAAGTACAAAAAATAAAAAGGATTTCTTCTGGACTTTGAAGGCAAAAAAAAAATATACAACTAAAAACTAGAAAATAAAAAAATCCTTATACCTGCAAAAATAAGAAAGCTATTGTATAAAATACATAAATTAACAACTTAAAAGATTACACTGATCTACAGTATTAAAAATTAAAAATGCCTCTCCTAATTTTGATTGTAACATCAGAAAAAAATATGTGCTGAAAAACAGATGATTTTGAGGACCTAGAACTTGCAACCAAGTATGTATTCAATTTGTGGAGTCACAAGGAGGTTTTCTATTGTTTTGAAAGAAGAAACTTTTACATTTATAAATTACATAACTGTCTGTGAATCTGGAGCCCCACTGATACTTTCACTTACAACCAAACTGTGGAATGTGTTTACTAAATGACAGCAATTTCAAAATGCAACTGCCCAGGAAACCCCATGCCAGTTGGTGAATGAGTACCTTTGGGCGGGCTTTATCCCAGACAAGAGCTGTTTTTTTTCCAAATGTCAATAACAGTAACACTGGGCAAGAGTCAAGTACAGACAGGCTCGGTGTCTATATACTGTACAAGAGTTTTCAGCCATATAGGATACTGGGGGGGGACTTACAAAAATTGTCGTTTAATTTAATGGCAGGAAATCCACCTGTACTTCATGCAACATAGTACAGTATAGAAATCTGATTGTGTGTGGGCTACTTTTAACATAGACACATAGAAACACAAAAACAAAAAAACACACAAAAGCATGTAACATTGTTGGGATTCCACTAAGCCCCAGAGCCTGACGTAATGTAGTATTAAAAGTTGAAGAAGCAGTATAGAGTGTGTTGTGCTAACTACAAATTTCTGGACATAACAAAAAGTCTACAAAACTATAATCCTCGGGTGGGGGGAGTAGTAGTGTGGACTGCTTTTAACACAGACACATAGAAACACAAAAACAAAAAACACACAAAAGCATGTAACATTGCTGGGATTCCACTAAGCTCCAGAGCCTGACGTAATGTAGTATTAAAAGTGGAAGAAGCTGTATAGAGTGTGTTGTGCTGACTACAAATTTCTGGACAAAACAAAAACTCTACAAAACTATAATCCTCGGGTGGGGGGGTGGGGTGGTGTGAGTCATCCCCTTCTCTATATCTCTAGTTCAATTCAGAAATGCCTTTCCCTGGCTTTTCCATTAAAAACAGGATAGCTATAAACCCATTCAGTGTATGGAGTGGACCAGTCTACTGTCACTTGATGTCACAGTTATTGTAAGGCA